TTAAAACAATTTTTGAGGGGAAGTCAAAATCATCTGCTGGAAATTTTCTTACATTGCCCAAATTGCTTCTGACCCGCTAATTTTATTTTTAAAAACTGTTGTGGTAATGTTTTAAAAGTTTACCCAATTCCCTTCTTTTTGTCTGTTTTCTATGGCAGATTGAATGGCCCTAGCAATTTTTGCACCAATGAGAAGAAAAGAGCAGTAAAGGATCCTTTTGGGTAAGGGGGGTGTAAAAGGGTTTTCAAAAATTCATTTAGATGTCATCGAAATGGGGAAAAATGCGTTACATGTAGAAAGTGTTTTTGTGGTTTGGGGAATTTTTTTTTTAATGGGAAACAATTTTAACGCATATAGGGGGCCAAGATTTCCCTTAGACAAAGACGTGAAATGCAGTGAAAAACCTGGCTTCACGACCAACAAAAAACCTTTTTTTGGAAGGGAATACTAAGCTTGTGACCGCGGGGCAAGTGTATTGAATAAGGGGGGAGTTTAGGTAGTCTGGAAGGCTTAGCCTGAATCACAACAAAAAAGTATCTCATCCTTGTCTTACAACTCATCCATGTCCAGGACCCAACAGCCCTACCTCGGTACAGTACAGTAAGTACAGAGGCCAGTCTCTGTGGTGAAGCCATCGGCGGTGACAACTGGTGTCACCTTGACTAGACATTTTGTACCAACCAATCGTATTTTTATAAAACTAAACATAACAAAGTATCTAGCACAATTGTATCTAGAAAAGGATATGCATCTGGCTCCTTGCTGCCCAGTTGTGCGGCTTCTGTTTCAGGGATCTGACGAGAGGTCTCCAGAAATGGCATAATTTTCTTCTCAAAGTTGGTTATCCATTCAGTGACTAGACACAAAATAAAATTTAAATTTAAAAAAAAAACGTACAGACAATGAAAAACAATGAAATAAAGGATAGTTTTCAATCTACAATCATTGTATTGTCTTCTTTGTTTCTCATTAGTCATGTAGCCATAATTTCTAAATATCTTGCACCTTTAAATTTCTTTTCAAAGCTGGTTATCTATTAATATACTGGACATGGGGGAGGGGGGTGGGGGAGGGGGGGGTGAAATAATAAAGAAACAAACCTGCCAATTAGTAATTATTGAAATACCTTCTTCTTCTGTGTTTCTAATTAATCATGTAGTAATGAGTTTTGCACATTTCTGAGGGATTTATATTGGATATACTGTCACTGTTTAAGATTAACATAAAAAGAGACATATGAAGAAAATAATGAATGCAAGGAGAGAAATGAGACATAAGGAAGGCAGACAGGCCTGCATTAATCTATTGAAAATAAAATATTTTTCTTCTTCTTTTGAAAGACGTGAGTCGCACCTTCTGGTGTGTTTACTGAGATGTATGGAAGCCGCATTAGCTGCAGTACTGGCTGGTAGGTTTGCCTAGTGGCTCAGTAATCACCAGTTTAAATCTGCACCCAGATGGATTTCTACAACTGACTTATGCTTCCAGGCTGACCCAGTCTGTAATGTCCTGGGAAGAAAAGGCAGCCAGGGTCATGCTGACCACATCATCCACCTAGGGTCTATTGGTCTATATAAATATGAGTCTTGCATTATATGCCAGATAGTCCACTGGCATTAAAAGGATCTTTCCTTACTAACCCGGACTGGTCCAGCCTACAATGGGTACCAGGAAATGTCACGAGAAGTAAAGGTGGCCACAGTGATATTGATCACATCACCCACAGAATGCTGATTGGTCCATAACATGTGTGACTGGCACCATATACCAAACCTACCTCTAGGCGTAAAAATGGGGACATCACCTGGTTGCTCAGAAACAAATGTTCTGAGAATATTGTTCTGAAACTGGATTCAAATCCGACATTTTCTGAGTGGCTGTGACACTTTAAACCAGGATGCTTTTTTGCCATTCTCTGACTGCCTGCTTTCCTTACCAGCATGTCTCCACTTCCATATTTCACCATGGAGGTTGTGATCTAGGCTTCTTTTACTGGATGATTTTGGTAGCTCTTCTTCTGATTATGCTAGTGACGCCACTGCCAGTATTTTCATAAATGTTTCTTTGTAGCAGGTGGGTAAGTAGTTTCCATTTCTTGAGCAGCACTACACATGGAAGGTGGTCTCTGCCATGGTGGCCAAGGATGTCCCACTGACATATAGAGGGCAATGAGATATCTACTAGATCTTCCAGATATAAACAGCAGGAGGCTAGAAATGTGTCAAACATGTGCTTTCCTCAAAATCATTGAGGTCTTTACACACTCACTGCACAATGAACTAAATAGACTATAAAGACAATAAATGAGGCCAGTCTTGGTTGGGCAGGGCAAAGACAGTACTTCAATGGGTGATCTCCCTTTATTACATAAAACCTTGGAGAGGAATGGATACTCATAGCATATAATTACAAACAGTACTTTGTGGTGGTTATCACCAAGACAAGACAGTGTTGTGATCTGGCGCCACCAATAGTTGATGCAAAACTCAGAATTCACCCATGCATGTTTGCTCAGCGACTCAAATGAGCATGCTACAGATGAACAAGGCGAGGCAAATAAGAAAACAGTGGCTCCATCTGATACAGCACGCAGCGTTCAAAAGGCAATGACAGAGCAGACGCCCTGACTGGCAGTACGACTATCAGGAATGGGCCATCTATAGACATCATCAATGCCATACGAGAGACTAAACATTGTGAGGCATTAAATTTCATGCAAGATGATTTTTCACAGAATAGACTGCATAATACCCATGGGTGTGCCAATTGGAGCAACAAGATATGAAAACTATGCAAGCACCACCCATCATTACATCAGCCAGAACAAAATGGGAGTTGTTAGCCTAAAAACACTTGGAAACATATTCAAGGAGAGATCAGAGCACCGATGGTCATGTCTGATGTGTGATGAGGATGATCTTTGAATGAACGATCTTTGAATGAACGGTGATGCTGAAGAAGGTCAGATGAGGGAGGAGGTAATGTAAAATAAATTACTGCACAGGTGTGTCACACATCATAAATTTGGGCCTGTTTCTATTCTAACTGATCACTGCAAGCAAATCTTTATTTTGATGACCGAAACAGGAAATCCAGGGACGGAGATAGGTAGAGACAACCCTGAAGCATGGACACTGATGTTGCACTACAACAACGCACCTGCACCTATATCACTTACATAGTCGCTACTTTCTGTCAAATCATGAAATAACCTGTGCCTAACAAGGGCAACCTATTCTGGAGATTTGTTTCTTGTTCCAAAAGTTTGAATTTAACCTTACAGGTAGCCAATTTCAGACTACAGAAGCGATCAAAGAATTATTCAAATGTGACATGCATGCTATTCAGAAAACAATTTTGAGAATGCTTAAAAAACAACAACTGGAAAACACATCAACAGCAGTATATCAGCAGTGGAGAAAAGTTTTCTGGTGGTGACAAGTCTAACTAAATTGTAAGTAAGGCCACATTTTTCCCTAAAGTATTTTTGGACTACTCTTGTTAAAAAAAAAAAAAAACCAATTCATTAACCACTAGGCCAAATCAAGAGTGATGGCAACAACAAAAAAGACAAGAATGGATTGACTTCCAAATACAAAAGGCTTACAAAGCGGCAGAGGAAATTGCAAGATGTCAAACACTTGAAGTAAAAGAAAGATGCAGAAAGCTCAAGGAAGAAGAAGTCAAACCCACAGCCCAAAAAGTACAGCTCAGACAGCCAAGCACACTGCAGATGTAGCCCAAGTGAACCCCTAACATAGATTAGTTCTCATCAGGACTCCTTGGAGGCCCCCTCCTCACAACAGAAGTCTCACCAGCCTGGAGCCCATCAGACACAGATGGCACTAAATCAGGCACAAGATAGTGCCCCAATGAAGAAACAACAACCTATTTAGCAACAACAACAAAAATTGGGATTGTAAATATATCCAATGTTCAACAAGCAGCTGCTTAAACGAGACTAAAATTGTTTCCTCTTTGGTTATGAAATCCAAGTCAAGTGAAACCAAAGACAATAGCTAGATTCTTACCATCATTCTGCAAAACTTTGGCTGTGGAACTTCGTGGAACACCTCTCACGTGGATGATACCACATCTATGTGGCATCTCATCTTCATTTGGGTACTCATTGGCACTGTAGTAGTCAAGAGAATGGACCAATCTTAAATACAACAGCATCTGGTCCAAAGCCTGAAGAAAAAAATCAGGTGCATCCATCAATGTCACACATATTTTGTATATGGCTAACTATTTTTACCTGTGACTGTTAAGATATGACCAAGAGTACACTTTTTTTTTATTGATTGCAGCAACAAACAATAACTGAATCCTTATACAAAAACAAGCCGAAAAAGGGGAAAAAATGTATCAGATAGAATATTGCTATCATCATTGCTTGCTGGAAATTCTCTCAATAAATTCCTCTGCCACAAGTACTGTCATGCCAAAGGTGTCTACAATACTATACTGTCATGCAGAAGGTGTATCCAAAGGTGTATCCACTACTGCACTGCCATGCCAAAAGTGTATCTACTACTGCACTGTCATGCCAAAGCTGTCTAACATACTATTCTGTCATGCCAAAGGTGTCAACAATACTACTCTGCCATGCCAAAGGTGTATCCACTACTGCACTGTCATGCCAAAGGTGTCTCCAATACTATACTGTCATGTCAAAGATGTCTCTAAAATACTATATTGTCAAGGGAACAATGTCTCCAATACTGTATTATCACGCTAAAGATGTCTCCATTACTGTACTGTCCTGAAAAAGGTGTATCCAATAATATACAGTCATTTCAAAGATGTCTCCAGTATTCTACTGCCATGCCAAAGATGTCTCTAATATTGTCCTGTCATGCTAAAGATGTCGCCAAAATTGTACTGTCATGACAAGACAGATGTGGTCAAGGCCCTCTAGGAACAAGCAACGGAATCAGTAGACAAACATGATTATTATGGCCTGGAGAGAATGAGGCACCTTGGTGTAACCAAAGGGTCTGGCTGGCTCACTACACTCAGAGAAAAGGCAAGACGGATATACAACCAGATTGTGACCGGTACCTTCAGTATTGGAACTCTGCGCTGGCTGCTGAAGATGAGGATGCAGTACACATGGGAATGCTCCGAGTGCTGTGTTGTCAATTCGTGACTCAACTCAACTCAACCAAAGATGTCTCCAATATTTTACTGTCATGCCAAAGATGTCTCCAATATTGTACTGCCATTCCAAATGTGTCTCCAGTATTGTACTGTCATGCCAAAGGTGTCTTCACTACTGTACTGTTCTGTGAAAGGTGTGTCCCCAATTGTACTGCCATGACAAAGGTGTCTCCAATATTGTACTGCCATGACAAAGGTGTCTCCAATATTGTACTGCCATGCCAAAGGTGTCTCCAATATTGTACTGTCATGCCAATGGTGTCTCCAATATTGTACTGCCATGCCAAAGGTGTCTCCAATATTGTACTGTCATGCCAAAGATGTCACCAATATTATGTCATGCCAAAGGTGTCTCAAATACTGTCTGTTATGTCAAAGGTGTCCCCAATATTGTACTGTCATGCCAAAGATGTCACCAAAATTCTGTCATGCCAAAGGTGTCTCAAATACTGTCTGTTATGTCAAAGGTGTCCCCAATATTGTACTGTCATGCCAAAGATGTCTGAAACATTCTGTGTCTACTATCATGGTCGACATGTGACCTTTTTCCAGGAATCATGTCTTCCCACTTTGCTCTTCCAATTAACCCTCGTTTATAATCTGGAAGAAGCATTTCATTTGCCAAGGCAATTATAAGCCTGTTTTTCTTTAATATTCAGATCTCTTTTAAAAAAAAAAGTTAACAATCATCATCATCAGATGCCCTGCCGACACACCTCTATGCCATGCAACAAGACTGTCAAGAATCTTCCCTCGTTGTCTTTCTCTATCCCTCTTTCCATAGATCTTTCCAGTGGTCACAACATGTTCCATTTTCCTTCTTCTCATAACATGGCCAAAAAATGATGACTGTTAACAGTATAAAATTCAATTCATAAAAATGTTGTAGTTCTCGCATATTAGACAAATGATTCAGTATTTAAATGTATTGACAATTCTTTAACATGTGAAATGTTAATACAACTTCAATACCTGACTCAAAGATTCATCTTTCTCCAATGTTACTTCATGACTGGCAGCTGTTTTTTCTTCAGATCCCCCTTCATGAAAGAACAAACAGTTGAAAACTTAGGTACTAATATTCTTCTTCTTTGACCTGCAAGGTTTAAAAGTTAAGAAGATAAACTGTTTTACGGTGGGTTTTATTCCATATGGCTTGGCCAGTCTCCCTAAAATGGCTAGCTTCCTGTCAAGAGTGTTACACAAAGCACAAACTCCATAGCCCCACTGGTTATCCCATTACAAAAATGCTCCGGGGACTGAATGAAGCAGTCTGTGAAATTAACCTACCACCTCCAGAGATAATTTAAACAGATCAACTCTTTCTTTCATCTTCTACTGGAGAATAGACCCTGACTTCAGATGAAACCCTCCTTACCTTTGCTATTATATCCTGTATTATCTCCTTTCCCTATACTAATTATTTGTCTTTTTGCTTTAATTCTATGAGACCTGATGCCCTGAATCTAACTGTCCCCTCTAACTGGGCTCATAAGCATTAAAGCGAAAAACCAACATGATATACACAAATGTTAGCTACACGCAAACAAGAGGTTAGAAAAAGATTAAATGTGGAGACATTGTAGAAAATAGGTTTGGCTCTACTGGCAAATCCGGACGAAGAATAAACAGCCTTGGACGACTTAGTCAGAGTTCTCTCCCTTGGCCGCACTCCAAACAGTAATCGGAAAACAAACGAAACAAACGACACACTTACCTATCATCCTGCGGTTGCGTGTAGGGCTGCGTACGGTTGCGTTGTGAGGCATTGTGAATGGTTGTGTAGTCATCATCAGTTAGGGTTAGGGGTAGGGTTAGGGTTAGGGTTAGGGTTAGGGGTAGGGTTAGATGTTAAAATTTTGACGTAGGGTTTCGAAATAGTGGCCGACAATCTGTTGTTTGTGGGCGTGGCGCCACTGAAATTCTGCTAAATATGACGCCAATAGTGTGCGGCTGGTGCCCAATCGTTGGCGAATGGTGCGTTTCACCAGCATCCAGAGGCCCACAAACATCAGATTGTCGGCCACTATTTCGAAACCCTACGTCAAAATTTTAACATCTAACCCTTTCCCTAACCCTAACCCTACCCCTAACCCTACCCCTAACTCTAATCCAACAACCGCATGGTGGCAACTAAGTCGTGCGTCGGAAGAACGATGTTAGTTATGTGAGTGCGTCTAACTGCCATGTTGCTTGTGTCGTTTGTTTCGTTGTGGCTTTTCCGATTACTGTTTGGAGTGCGGCCAAGGGAGAGAACTCTGACTACGTCGTCCGAGGCTGTTTATTCTTCGTCCGGATTTGCCAGTAGAGCCATAGGTTTACCTTACCTTTTATAAGTAAAATTCAGATCTGTATTTGGTGATACAAAATTCCTTGCCCAGCCTTCATTACCATCTAGATCTCCCCTATCAGCTGTTTGAAGGACACATGCCCTTTTTCTTACTACTGATCTAGCTCTAGTTTTTTAAGGTTAAAGATTCTCATCACTTGAACTCTCACAAAATGTGTCACTTGAACTGGAAACGTATTCCTGTTGAAATTCTGACTCCTCATAGACAATCAACCAAAGTATCGATCACCAGATGGACTGTAAAAAGCCTAGCGTTACTTTGCTTTTCTTTTGAAATGCTTGGCTCATCAGCCGCTTCGCTGTAAATTTTCTGAATTTGTTCATGTTAAACCATACAAAGTCAATCCAAACACATGGTGGAAGCCATTTGAAATGACCAACCACAGAGTCTGACCACAATTGGTAAGGTTATTTTTAGTCTGTGACGCATTTTTTTTCACATAGTACTCAAAGTACCGAAAACTAGGTGCAAGGTTTAGTGGCAGATTGGGAAATTCCCGGAAAAGCTGTACACTGGTCTGGTAGAGTTAATCTTGGATAACATATTTTAATTTCCTTTTCTTTTTCCTGCTGACTGATTCATGACTGGTAGATTCTGAAAACTGGACATATGGTGCTAGATCCATATTTCTACTGACTAACCTGTACTGAATGGTGATGTGATCCATATCAGGCTTGCTGCCTTTACTTCCCAGGGTTTTTCTTGTACCTATTTTAGGCTGAGCCAATCTGGGAGATTAGGCCAATTATAGTTAGTTAACAGATTATCATCTCTGCACATGGAATCATCCAGTCCATAAGTGCTCAGATCCCCTCTTCAGTATCTCCCTCAGCGTATAGTGGCTTATGACACCAGTTCTGTGTTGGTTTACTAATCTTCTTTAGGCCCCTGTGCAGTGCTCTTGTCTGGCTTCACACCTTTTGATGTTATGTTCGTGTAGTCTCGTCAGTGTTAGGCCATTTATAAAAATCTGCATCAATGTGGACTCAAGCATTAGACCTCCAAACCAGAAGGCAAGCAATTAGCTACTGCACTACAGTGGCTCACACATGCCAAAGGAATACAGGCAGTCGAAAAACCACATGGGGAAGAAAACTAAAGAGTAAAGAGAAAATTACGGGGACAGGGTAAGCTGCATGTGATAGCAAAAGATAGGGCTTCACTGTGTAAGTTAGTTAGGCCTATGCTCCGGTGGGGTGGGGTGGGGGGGGGGGGGGAGGGAGCGTTATTAGTGTTTAGCTGTGATTAAACTGCTGTTTATCCTGTGACTCAAGTGCTTTGTTCATACCTGTGGTAAATTCAAGCATTATCGAACATTCTCACTAACCAATCAGTTCATCCTCTTCAAAACTGCCTTCCTCCACAAGATAGTCTGTGATGTTCCTCAACACTGGGTTCTTTGACACAAAACCAAACTGCAGCTGGGCATAGAAATAAACAAGTGGATTAGGGCTACATACAGTTAAAAGCTTCTAACTGTATAGAATTACATATGTGTTACCTGGACTCATACAAGCAAACGCACAGAATAAAAAAAAAAATGCTTGCTATGTGGGTTCTGGAACCCCATTTAGGGAGAAAAATAGAACAAGCATGTCATAAAAAGCAACTAATTACAGTTTTGCTGAAATCGGATACACTGGGCCTGAAATGGATGAACATTGCAACCTAGCTGTGAACCACAATACAATGTGCCAACTCACCTTGAACACAGAAAAAGAAGAATATAATGTAACCAACCTGCATGCAGCAAGAGCTGACTAAAGAAGGCTGGTATGACAAAAGCCATCTCATTCCATTCAAGAAGAAATGTCAGCTACAAAAGATCCAACTAATCATAAACAAGTCAACAAAAAGTTTGGTGCGAGCCTAGTCTCCTTTCATATTCAAAAGGCAGAACTGTACCAAACAAATTTAACAATTTATGGAAAGCATCAGTTGATCTTGGACCCCCCAAAAAAAGTAGCAATACTGATAGTCATGGAAACACAATGACAGAAATTACAACATGCATTAGAAAGGAATCAGCAGTTTTTAAAGCTTAAAACAAAATATGGAACTCTACATTATGTTTTCAAACCAAGTTACATATTCTAATATTATTCTAATATTATTTCAGTTTTTAACTTGCCAGTTAAAGCTGGAGAACCACTATTGATATGGAATGAAAATTAAATGCCTGAGGAATATGATGAGCATAAAATTTGATAAATTCAAGAGTGAAGAAATAATAGAAATGTCTGGATAACTTCTAGTATCAACATGTTGGACAGGATGAGGCTATATTGGACCATATGCTGAGAAGAGACGACAAAAGAATCACAAAAATGGCAGTGAAAATAGAGCAATTCAGAAAAACCAGGACGTCCAAGAGAAACCCTAGGGCGAACGTTGATGAGAGAAGCTAAAGGAGGCTTCCATACATGCAGAGCCAATACATGGTGCTCTGGTACTGGGCTCACCCAAGGAATATTAACATCCCACTCATGACTGTTTAACCTCACTTCCACACATTGGGCTTCTCATTCATTACGGCCGACACCTTTAAAAGCCTGCAGGATTCAACACAAAATGAGTACTTTGCTTCTTATGCATGTAAGACTTCAGTGCCAATCAATATGTACCATGCTGTTCCAATGCCTTTAAGGATTCTCCAGCGATTGCTTTCAGGCGCAGAATGGGTTAAATACTGTATCTAAACAACATTACACAACAGTAAAGCTCCACCAGGCGATTCCGTTTCATCTCAAAATGTCAACTGAAATCATCACAATTTGAAGGGACAGGATCAGGAATACCAGCCTTAGAGAAATGGCTGGAAAGACCTTACCTGAATTATTTTAAAAGATAGAGAATAAGTGGTAAGAATGTAACCGGATCAAGCTGCATATGAGACCTTCTACCGCAGAATATCTGGGTGGAAGGTGAGAGGAAAACCAAGAAAGGGATGGACAGACAGCTTAGCTGAATCCTGTAAAAAGATAAACCCATCATTCTTGCCAGTCGAGAAGTGCAAGACAAGTATATAGAAAACACTGGGCTTTGACCTAATAATTGCGCGATGAAAAAAAAAAATCCTTACATCTTTCTCCTCATCTTTTTTCTCCTCTTCTGGTTCATCCCAAAGGCCGTGCTTCTTGTCAAGTATCTGGATTATCTTGGCAGCTATTTTAATATCATTGCGCATCACTTGTTTGTGAACAGTGATCTCGTCTACTGCACGAATGCGCACTTTAAGCTCCCTGTTGACTGTTGCTCCAAGTTCACAATCTCTTAGCTATATAAAACAATACAGAGATTATTATTTTCATCCTTACATAATCTAATACAAAATACATAGACATTTTCTCATCTTGGCATCATCTGATACAAGAAACCTAGACATCTTTTGATCCTTACATAATCTAATACAAGAAACGTAGACATTTTCTCATCCTTATATCATCTGATTCAAGAAACATAGACATCTTTTCATTCTTATATCACTGGATACTAGAAACCTCTACATCTGGCAACAAATTGTTTCAAAATGTTGCTTTGGTCTTTTGGCATCTAAAGTCATTAAATTATTTTAACTTCCTCATCACCTTTCCTTTCGAGAAAATTATGGAAATTGTCTCCTTCACTTGCTCTTTTACCACTTTGGATGTCGAGGGAGATATAAGGTTCTGTTTCTTGCAGCATCGACCATAGTCACATCGTGTCGTTATAGTTTATCTGATGTCATCTTTCCAAACTGTTCTGGGTCTACCCTCATGACTACATCCTTCTCCTCTTTTGATGTACACCTTGCATGATATGGCACCAGAAGGCATTCTCTCTAAGTGGGCAAAACCGTCTGATTTACCAACTTTGCATGATATTTAGAACTGGTTCTGTGCCACCTTGTTCTCTTCTGGCCTCCATTTCTGATTTGATCTTTTCTGATCACCCCTGCAGCCTTTCTCAGACATCTCATTTCCATGGTTACCTATTTTTTTCTGGTTTACTGTGAGTGACCATGTCTGGCACTGGTAGCAGAGGGTGGGAATGAATATGCTTCCTTTGAGATGTTCCTTTGTGCTGATCAGGATTGTTTTATGCTGAAGAGGGGGTCTTAACGTTCCAATACTTGGTTTGTTTTGTTGCACTGAGTGTTACTTTCTTAATCCATTTCCATTGAATGTGTTCCCAGAAATGGAAATGGTCTATTACCCATTTTTATTAGGTTAGGTTGACCACAGAGCCACATTTGTCTGGGGAAAAAAAACTTGGCCACTTCTATGGACTGAAACCAGACCACTCTTCTGAAGGGCAAATGCACTAATCACTATGACACTAACAGTCGCCTTAAAGATACATCAGTACAATGAGAAAAAAACTCACTCTTATGTTGTTCAAGTTCCAGCAGACTTCCTTGATATTGCAATCCTTAGAAAAGGTGACCCAACCTCGTCGGAAAAACCTTCGCTCCGCCTGAGGATCTAGCAGGGCAATCCTTTTGAAACCAGGATACCTTCTGCACAGCTGTTAAAGCACAAACATATGTAAGATGTCGGTGACAAACATATGTAAGATGACGGTGACAAACATATGTAAGATGACGGTGACAAACATGTAAGATGACGGTGACAAACATATGTAAGATGACGGTGACAAACATATGTAAGATGATGGTGACAAACATGTAAGATGACGGTAACAAACATTTGTAAGACGATGGTGACAACAAACATTTAAAAATAAAAAAATAAAACACTCCCAATAAATACTCACTGCCTCTATTTCATGTTTGGTAATATTTGGTGCCAAATTGCTCAAGAATATAGAACTGGTTAGATGCAGCGGTCGAGGTTTTCTGCACACCTCCATCACCTTTTCCTTATTCTCATCACCAGCATTATCTTTCTCTGCAATGTTATCTTTCTCTGCATTTTTATTGTCACCTGCAAATATTTTAACAGATAACACATTTAAAAATAATTTACATTACTTAAAATATTTAGCTTCAATGTCAAATCAAACTTTCTCCCCAAGACATACTCCATCATCTCTCTAAGGTCCCAATGTGGGTTTCAGGACCCCATTGTGGAGAAAACAAGAATAGACCCACTTCCCCAACAAGCATGTCTAAGAGATGACTAATTGGGGGCTTCCGTTGAAGTCAGAGTGCATCTGCCTGAGAGGCAAGGAGCCAAGAATCTCCATACAAGTAAATCAGATCTGAAATCTGGATGTGCATGCCACACTCAGGTTCTGGAACAAGACTAATCTTCATGGGTTGATGAACAACCAGAACCTTCTGACGGAGTCTACAGCCGGTAAACATGAAGAAGTAGATCTACATAAAGAAGGATAGTGCATCACATTCAGACTAAGAACAGGGCATTACGGACTACACCAACATATGTGCAAGTGTGTTGGTGTAGGAAACACACAGAGAAGAATGGTATATAAGAGAGCTCAATAAATCTATGGTGGGTTGCTGGGAACTGAATGAGTTAAGAGCCAAATAAGACAACTGGATACATATATATATATATATGGACACTGTCTTCAGAAGACAGAAGGAAAATAGCCCTGACAGAAATGAATGTTTACGTACTATGCTAGGTGTACCGAGGAAAGAAAGATCGACATAGCAGCGGCGATATCAGGAGGAGAGTCGGCGCAGAACTAATAATGAACTTTATAGGTAGACAACAAATCAAATGGTTTAGCCAGGTAACAAGATTGGCATCAGACAGGGCACCAAACAGAGCAATGTTGTACAGATACAGCGGTCACAGAGCCAGAGTCGACCAGGCAGAACATAGACCGCAGAAACACCAGAGACACTGAAAAGTACGTTATACAAAGTGAACAGAAGGGTCTGTGTCCAGAAATCTCTTCCTGTCTTGAGGCTGCCAGGTATTCTAGAAATAGAGAAAAGAAGAAAGAAGAAGAAGATAGTAAATACAATGGTCAATACAAAAATCACTTTAAGGGAACTTGGTTGACATTTACAACTTACCATTAATGACAGAGGAACTATTTTTAGAACTGCTTGGCTGAACAACTGGTTGACTTGAACTCGTCTCCATACCTTAACACAAGCAAACCAGATCAAATACAGCTAAAATATACTTTCAAATGAGGGGGAATAATCTTTATGGGACATTTAATACAATTTCATTAGCTATTTCAGTATCCAAATCTAAATATTGAAAGCTGAGAGGAGGATTCTCTTCTAGCAGAAGAGCAAATGAGAGAATCTGTGATACTTGAGAGAAGATTGCTGATGCTAAGAACATTGGCTTGAGATGGACAGCAATGGTGTACTTCTGAGGAAAGGACTTCTTTGTTTTGTGTAGAGAGACATGAATGGATCAGGTTGTAGTTGCACTGGGGCAATCTTGATCCCTGAACAAACAGATTCATCATGCTATCATTGTATCCATTCTTTTATTTAGTTCCAATAGTGTAGTCAGAACAAACTAGATGAGTCATTAAAATAAATGAACATCTATGTATTATTTGCAACAGTAGTTATTTATAGTGGAAGCATTTCTAGATGTGTGGATTATTTGTAAGTTTAGGTACTATCTATATTTTTCTTCTAGACAGAAACTCAATTAAATATTAGGGAGAAGAAATTTCCTATTTAGTAGAAACGTATTGTCTCTAGACTTCTGAATTCTTCTTTCTCATTTGCGGGGACACTCAAACATCTTACTTTGTTTTTAAAAATCATACAGGCTTTAATTTGCCGTTCAGGAACTTTGTTATTTCTACATTAAAAAAAAAAGCATTTGTCCCATTTTCATGCCTGGATTAGGTTATAGGGTCATCCTTAAAACCTAATCAAGGCATGAAAATGGGACAAATTCTTTTTGTTTAAATAAAAAAAATATATATACATTTACACACACATATTTATATATAACACACACGCGCATATATATATATATATATATATATAATATATATATATATATATATATATATATATTATATATATATATATATATATATATATATATATATATGTATGTATGTATGTATGTATGTATGTATGTATGTATGTATGTATGTATGTAGGTATGTATGTATGTATGTATGTATGTCTGTATGTATATATATAATATATATAGATATATATATATATATATATATATATATATATTAACTGGTACTATTAAACTGCACAACTCTGATGAATAGGTTGAGAGGAAAAATATATTTATACTATATAATTTTTTATATATATATAATATATATATATATATATATATATATATATATATATATATATATATCTATATATATATATATATTTATATATATATATGAGTTAGATTATCTTCACAGCACTCCGGACACATCCATTGGCGCTCAGATTTCCCTCTCAACATATTCATCAGAGTTGTGCAGTTAATAGTACCAGTAGTATGTTGGTTAACAAGACTTCGTGTGCATCCAGTGTGCTTCTCATGTTTGGCTGTGCCGGTCTTTACTCCTAATTCGCGTAGCAGTGGAAACATTGCTTCCAAAATCCTCAGAACGTCCTATCTCACTAAGGGCAATGACAATGTCTGCGGGATCCATGGGCCGGTCATCTTCAATTAATGCAGCACCTGCCAGTCTATCAGCTCTCTCATTACCAACACACACGCCTGCATGCCCTGGGACGAATATGAAAGTAACTGCACACACAAAAGCATTTTGCAACGACTCAAGCCACTGTCTGTGTAACCAGCGTGCCTCGACCCGCCGGACTCGTGTTCAAAGAATCACTTAGCATACACATGCAGGAATAGTCCTGTGATCCCAGCCACATGAAAGCCTGTGTCACGGACATCACCTCCATCGTCATGCTGCTGGCGGTCATGGAGAAGGCATCGCTGGCTTCTGAACTGTTCTGCCTGAAGAGCGAGCTGTAAATACCCATGCACCCTTATGTCCTCGTATAAAGGACCCATCTGTGAAGATCACCACATCTGTCTATATATATATATTGTCCCATTTTCATGCCTGAATTAGGTTATAGGGATTCAAACTCACAACAATCACCTGGGAACCAGTGTAGATAAACTCTAAATCCATGAGAAACAGTTACCTGGTGGTGCTAGTTCAGTTTCAGAACCGGAGTCCAATCCAGACTCACTATCACTCTGATAACTGTAGTCTGATTTGTCTCTTTGGCTCTTCTTGTTCCTTCTCTGTGCCTGTACCAAAGAGAAATTATTCAAATAGACACATTTCTTTTCTACACTTTAAAAACAAGAGTAGAGGTGGTCAACATTCTGCTGCTCCTACAATTTACATTCTATTAATTTACATTATGTCTCAAATGGGTGCTACATAAATGCTTGCTGAAAATCAAAAATGAACAATGTAAATGATAGACAGAGTCCCTTTAAGTGTCCTTTGAAACAACTATATATGAAACAAACAGGCAGTCTCCTAATGTTTATAGTTCACACAGACACCGCAAAGAGAATCAAGCTCACATAAGATGATAAGATATATAATATATCTTTTTTAAACACCAAGACATTATAACTAGTTTATCATGGGAACAGTCAGCAGAGGTAACTACGGACGACTGCTTTTCCAGAGAACTGAACAAGCACTGGAATGCTCGATGTGCAGTGATATTAACTGATACAATTTTTTTAAAATGTAAAAAACAACAGTAACACTGTGACCTACCGTGCATGTTAAAAAAGGACCTTTTCCACATCCTTGGGTGTACTGGCTAGATTAGTGCTAGACTTATATTCTATAGATCAATGATACCTGGTGGTGATGTGGTAAACATTACACCGGCCTCCTTTACTTCCCGGGACTTTACATGTTACTCATTTTTGGCTGAGGGTCTGGGAGTCGAGGACAACACTTGGCATGAACTAGCTACCTCACCCTAAAGAAAACTAGCTGCAAAATGGAACCAATCACAAAGAAATCTACAAAGGCTTGCCTCATTTTTGCAGAGGGCTTATGCTCTATTGGGAGATGAAAGGCAGCACCAGAAGAGTGGTGGTATGATGTACTTTACCTTAGCTTCTCCCACAGCTGCAACTTCCTTTTGTTTCTGAAGTTCTAGGGCTGTTTTCTTTGCCTCCTGCTCTGGAGAAACAGGCCTCTCTGATGCTAACTAAAACAGTATAAAGACAAGTAAGTGAGCTGTTGCAAGATTTAAGACTTGCAAAACTACAATACAGGATAAATTAAAGATGCACCATTTGTCAAAGATAGGATATATCTAAACTTTGGAAAAGTGCAATGTATACTATGAGGCATGATCAAAATAAACCAGTTCTAGAAGCACAGTTACAAATGTATTCAAGGTATATAGTAGCTGAGGCTGCAAAACAACTGGTAAGAAGCAAGTAGAACATGGGTCACCAGAAAAAGTTTATGTAGGTATTCAGCCACATATCACAGTTTAAGGATATGGAAGATGCTTCCCTGCACAATGTCATTAATGCTGTGCAAGAAGAATTAGCATGGAAGAGGAGGGATGTTTTGACAAAACTCAGGCTACAGTAATGATCTGATGCCATATGATTTTCAATGTTGAAACCCTTAAAAAACCCCTTAACAGACAAGCATTTTAGCCCGAATAGAGACGCCTTGATAGTGGTGACCAAAGGTTCAATGAGCAGCCAATGTCCTTCACAAATGGAATCTAAACTTCATAAAGATTTACAATTTCAATATAACAGTAATATCATGTCATCTTCTGCCAAAGAACCAAAAGCTTGTCACCATCTCTTCAACACAAGTACAGTTTAGGACCACTGTCCACACTACCAAATACTGTAGATACACGATGATAGCTTCAGACAATTATGGACCATCTATTTACAATGGGTGATGTGATCAATGAGTCCAGCAGTATTTAGTCCCCAGAACACTTCCTGGTATAGCAAGGCGAGGTTGACTAGGATGCTCAGCTAATTTTTTTAAGTAAAACACCATCTTGATGAAGATAGGACTGCGTGACCATCAGGTTATCAGGCTAGTGTTAGCCATCGTGCCATGGCTCCTAACTCATAATATGTGGTAAATTAAGTCTTTTAGTCTCAGCAATGTTTTTACTGCAAGACTTTAACCCCAAAATCTGTGGACTTCCAAGCACCTCTCCTTGAAACATTTAATAATAACTCTTCTTCTAAGCATTCACAAGCTAATTCCAGCAGACATTCTGGGTGTTCATCCACTTCTAGACTTTAGTCTTGTTCCAGAAATTATATTACACAGGCACATTCATGTTACAGATCTGTTATTTGTATGCAGACTGCTGGTTCCTCGCGTCTCAGGTCACTGCACACAAACTTCATAGGGAAAATCCCTAATGAGTCACCTCTAACAACATGCCTGATAGAGAAGCAGCAGGTATATTCCCCCCTCCCCAATGGGGCTGGGAACCCACACAAGGGCAACAGTCAAATTAACAATTGGGATAGAACTGATTAATGTAAAACAATGGGACAGAAGAAGTGGAAACAATGCACAACAAGCATAAGCAATAAACAGAGCTGACTGGTAATAATTATAATATGATTTAACAAATCCAGTAGTGACTGACCTACCTCATTTTTACTCTCATTCTTATCTGTGGATGTTTTTTCCTGGCTTGTATCTTTTTCTGATGCATCCTTAATATCACTTGAGATAAATATGAAATGTTTAAAATGTAGACATGGAAACAGAAAAAGAGAAGCTGAGCAAAAGATTAAGTGTGGATGTCTGTCTGTATAAGCATTTGAGGGTCATCATGGTTAAGTGGTCAAACCACTTGCCTTGTACTCTGAAGGTGATGTGTGTGTTTCTTGGACATGTTGTTTGTTCATGAGTGCTGTTTTTATGGAGTTTTGTGCGCCACTCTTGGCAGGAGGTTAGCCATTCTGCAAGAGAGACCGAGCTATTTGGGATAACACCCAGTGCAATGAATTCAGTGCTCTGGACTTTAACTTTTTATATGAATTATCAATCCTGGTTTAAAATTTTTAAGAGGCTGTGTGAAGCCCATAGCTGTATTCATCATTACGTTGTGACCTTAGAAGCCCCACAAAGCTTACAGTCAATTTCTCCATTGCATTATGTTGATATCATGTATAGAATCCACTCCAGCAGCTCTGCCTTCTATCATCAACCTGTTATAGTGTCTCTAGAATAAACACACTAACCCAATGCATTTGTTTCATATTCAGTGCCTGTTTGTGATTTCTTGTCCATTTAGTCTCAGAATATGCCTAGCATATTGTAATTTTCCTTCTCTGATAACTGTTGATACCAGCAGTTGCCCATACATTTTGATGATTTGTTTCATCTTTCTCAAAGTCATCCCATTTGAATATTGAATTAAGAATTTACATCACAGCACTTGGGACACCCCCATAAGCTCTTCGTCCCCATCTTCAGCAGTAAGTGAAGAGTTCCAATTCCAATGGCACCAGTAACTATCTGATTGTATATTCGTCTCACCTTCCCCTCAGTGTTGAGCGTCTACCAGATCCCCTGGCAACTCCTCGACATGCCATTCTCCTCAGACCATAATGATCTATCTGTGTCTACTCACTGTTCACTCGCTCCAAGAGGGCCTTTACAATATCCAGCTTGTTATACATCAATTCACCACCAAGTGGTGCAGAGCTAGCCAGTCAATCTGCCTGCTAATTCCCTAACACACCGGCATGACCTAAAGAAAATATCTAAAGGACGCTAACTACCCAGCATCTCTGAATTGATGCTTGCCACTCTGAACAGAGCATGCCTGTCTTCAACTTTCTCAACATGCTCTGTGAGTCATTTATCTGTGTACACAGCATCTGTTCTCAAGCCAGCAGAAGGCATCAGTGACTGCCTCCACCTCCATTCTCAAACTAAATGATGTGATATCATATGCAAGGCTTTGCTGCACTAAGCGATGTCCATTCACTTTTGCTAGGAACCCCTATGCACTTTGTCTGCCTCTCAACACAGAGCCATCTAATAATCACATGACTTGAGCGGGAATCCCATTTAAACATCATCAATTTCTTCAAACATTTGTTTTGCAATTTTCACTGAAATACACATGAAAAAGGTCTGAACTGACAATACACAACACAGCCACACTCGTAAAATAACAATCCTGCTGATTTATACAACAAAAAACAAACATCACCATTATGTAGCCAATTTTTTTTTTTTTTATGATGTCATCCTCATTGCAGTACAGTGCAGTCCACTTAGTCCCTTGTCTAATTTTCATCCCAAAGGTGCTTCACGTATCCTATGCCCACCTTCCTACTGGTCAACCAATAGGACGTCTTTCACAAAACATGTCTTTAACAACTTTTTTTTAATTTAAGCCTCTTAAAGATTTCCATTTGCTACTTAAAGATTTTAATTTGATCTTCGTATTTCAGTTTCTGAAGAAGCTGTTGACACTTCTGCTTCTCTTCTTCAAACAAAACAAGCTACTATCACATCGGCATCTGGATCCAAAATTTTCATTTGCAGAGTTCCAGGTTTGGGTTTTTGTTTCCGCTGGTAGGAGAACTATGACTACTAACCTCAGAAATCTGCATGAAGCTGTCCTTATGGGTGATGACAAACTGTTAACTGAGAGCTTAAAAAATGATTTTAGTTTTCATTTTTTAATTATTTACATTTTAATAATGCTACTTTAGCTATTCTAATTTTTGTTGTTGTTGTGAATTTGGTGGTTATTTATTACTACAGTAGTAAGCTTTACATTCAGCTGTTTACAAAAATAAAAGCTTTAGCATGGGATAAACAAAAAAAAACCATTTTTTTTAGTCTTAATAATACAATTTCATCGATAACTAATATAAAGACAAAATTATTTCTTGCATGTTCTAGAGTCAGCAGACTAGACTGTCTCTTTATCTGCGCAGATAATGATCGTGAAATTAGCCATATCAGACACGTGCACTTTCTATTTTCTTTCTTTTCCATTTAGCCAGACTGAGCCACAGCAACACATGGCCGGGTACAGCTAGTCTAAAATATATTTCCAAACAAATTAGGAAAGAAAAGTGATGTTAAAACAGATGTTCTGAAAAGAAAAAAAAAAACGATGGGGTGGGGGGAATAAACAAATGTGTAATAATGATGGAAACTAGACAATTACCTAGAATCGCTCAATTCACCCTCTTCTCCATCTTCCTTCTGTGTCTCCTTGATTCTGAAATGATAAATATTACCAACAAGCTGCACATACACATCGGTACACAATGTAAACATAGTACACAGTAACTGCACTCTATAAAATTATATCTTATGCAATAAATTCCTATCATTAGAGTTAGAAAAAGAATTACTCCTTGTAAAATAGAATCAGTTTTATCATATAGTAGTGAACCCTGGAGATTTTGTAAACAAGTTAAAGTAAAAGATACCTTGGGGCCTCAGAGATGTGGTTTGACCAAGGACTGCTAACCATTTTTAGGTACATTAAAAATCCATCATCTAAATAAAAAACAAAAAGGCTGATTGTAAGACTACTTATCACAAACAGAGAAGGGGGACAGTCTTCAAATTTTTGACCACCTTTTGAGAAGATAAAAACTGGAATATGTGAAAACTGGAAAGATTTCTGAAAAGTTGTAACTAGAATGTCATTACACTGGAACCCACATGATCAAAGGGATAAAGTCAGACACACAAAAACACAGACAGAAAAGAGATTTAGAGTATGGTGAGGGGGGGGGGGGGGGTGAGAGAAAAAGAGTGGAGAACATTGGGGAGGGGTTATTTTTGGTACAAGAGTGTTACCATAGAAGAGACTGGAGTCTCTTCCTGTAATATTCCAAAATACAGCAGTGGTATACTGTAGCCAACCATCAGCACTCAAATTTTTTTTTTTGTGTGGCTTATTAATGAACAGTTACAGAATAGCAAAGGGAGAAAGTCCTTATCAGGCTTTTGTCATAGCATGGCATGCAAACTGATTCATGCTGTTGAAATGACAAAGTGTGGAGAATCATGATCGCCCACACCAGCTGGCAAGGAACTTTATGATGATAAGTACAAGGTATCACAAGAATGCTGTGAAAAGACAAAAAAAGTGTATTGAAAATGTCCTGCAAGAAATTAATTCATAAAGATAATGGGTTACTGAATAAGAAGCTGACATGGCATCTTCTTTGGTAAAGTCATGAAAATGAGAAAACTGGAGTATGTCATAATGTCTGGAAAGCTGGAGGGGAAGAGAGGCAGACATAGCAGACAATACCAATAAAATAAATTATTGAAAAAAAAAGGGAATTTTCCCTACACAAGAGCCACAATAGTTTAGTGGTTGGCACTCTTGCATAACCTGTGGTCATGTGTTTGAATCTCCACAAAGTCTAAGATGAAAAAAAAAAGTCCTGAAAAGTAAAGGCAACTGACATATTGGCGACGTTACATGGAATGCCATTTTGTCTAAAACGGGGCTATTCAACTAACTTTACTTGAGGGTAAAATTTTTTTGGAAATGGTGGTCATTATTGGCACAGAAATTTCATTAATACAGTACAACTGGCAATGATTCGCGGGCCACTTTATACACCATGTGGGCCAGATTTGGCCAGCGGGCCACCAGTTGAAACAGCTCTGGTCTAAAATATGAGGCTAGCAGCAAATACCAAAATAAGCTTTATGATATGTTAAATTGGATCCTTTACATTTATATTTCTTTTCTGCCCTTTGTCCCCTAATGAAGCATAGACCCTCAACCAGCTTGTCCCATCATCTGCAGCCTACCCCCATGCCCTCCCCATATTTCCTGTCAGTCACCTTCTCTTATTCCCTTCTCTACATTTTTTGCTTTTGCGGTCTGCCTTTATTCCTCTGACCTTGTGGATTTCTGTTTAATTATATTCTAGTTATATTGTTAACAGATTTCCTTAACTGGTGTTCTTTCCTAAGCGACATTCATTTTATTTTAAAAAATCACAACGGCAACACAGTGACTGCAAACAGAAACCTACGTGTTGTCAGAAGTAGTCCTAGTTTCTGAGTTCTGACGTGATTGATCTTCTGCCTCCACGAACGTTTTGTCTAAGACGGTCAGATCAAAGTCATCCCCACCTTCCAGCAAGATAACCACTGAGGAAATTTAGAATATGAAACACTAATTCTTAGTCCATCCAGTAGAGTACTGGTTATCACATCCTTCTACAGCTGCGGTCTCCAACCTTTTCCAGGTGGCGCCCCCTTCAGTATATGGCAAGATCCTCTAAGCCGCACCCCCCACAACATAACAAATGGTGATCTTAAAAAATTAGGACAACAAGAACAATTTCAAGCTCTGCTAACAAGAACTAGCAGGAACAATTTGACATAAATCAGTGTCAAATAAGAAAGGAAACAATCACTAACAACTGGTAATTTAGTGTTCATATATCAATGTGATGGCTGAAACTATTTTGTCTTCATGATACACATTATTTTTGTGTCTAATGTTTGACAAGGCACAAAGAGATCACTCTCCACAACATCAGGATCCTCACCGGGGCTACAGAGCCTGTGCACTGTGCTAAGCTTCTTCGGACTCAGACTTGAGTTAGAGAAGAACGGAGCACTTATGGGTTACTACCCGTGTTCCATGATGTTGATCCTCTGTTCACACCTCTCCACATTAAGCTGGCAGTGATGTTTTGTTTTATGACTGTTAAAGCTGAAATCTAGATAACTACACAGACAAATGCACGCCATTTCTAAACTGATGCCTCCTTTAAAATTTCATCCTGCCCTTCCCCCTATGAAGGCAACATCTCCCCCTCTCCCCCCAGGCTGGAGGCCACTGGTGTTTTTCCATGCCAGAGGCCAAGCTGACAACTTCTCTCTTAGTCTCTTTTTCTCAAACTTTCCTGTTGTCACAACATCTACCAGTTCTTCCCTTTCTTTTTCACGCATCCCAATGTAGATTCAAAAATAGTAACCTATCGGCACTGCCTTGGTAAAATGTGAAGTTTAAATTCTACCTAAAGTAGTTCAGGATCCTCGCCGGTGCAACAGAGTTCGTGCACTGCGCTGAGATTTTTCAGACTTTAGGCTTAAGTTAGAAGAAGAACGAAGCAATTATGGGTTTCACCCATGTGTCATGATGTTGCTTCATTGAATAAACAAAAACAAATGTATGGCTTCACAAAAAGTGAAGTGATTTTATGTACTGTTTTACGCAGTTGTAACACTGTACATGTGTGTTGTTTGGCTTCACAAAAAGTGAAGTGATTTTATGTACTGTTCTATGCAGTTATAACACTGTTCATGTGTGTTGTATGGTGTTGAAGGCTTTTACCAGCAACGTCAATTTTGTCATTTGTGATTGTTTTACTGAAAAGTTGACTAGTTCTCCTGTAGATTGATCTTTCAGTGGTATTAAAGAAACATTTTAAGAACACATAACATTGTATGTGTGATGAAGATAATCCTTATTCCTTCAGAAGTTGAAGGGAAAAAGAGGAAGTAGAAGACCAAGAGAGGGAAGACAGTCTAGCCTCACGGTATGAAAAAATTAACCTGAATATAGAAGTCTGTGGGCAAACATGATTAACAATGCCACACAATAAGGACTTTAAGATGCAACACACTCTCCTAGTGCTGCCCTTAATTTCTTTGTATGGTTTAGCAAGACAGTGCAACTGTTCTTTTTCTGCAGCACTGCTTCTGCTTATTTTTGCCTTTCAATTCCCAAACAGATCTATCTATGCATTAATCTGGATTCTGGTGGCAATGAAATTCCTAGGCCTGTAGAGGAAACTCCTTCATGTTCACCAGCTGTAAACTCCAGCAGAAGGATCTGGTTGTTCAGCCACTTCTGGACTTCAGTATGCCACTACATAGATAACGGCTCCAGTATGTACTGCACAAACCATCAGTTTCTCAGCTTGGAGAGGGAAAAGAGAGCTCTGCATCAGTCCTCATGGAGATAGCTATGTAGTCAAAGGTTAAAAGTAAAGCTACTACTCTGATAGACGCAACACTATACAGGGCTCAAGTGACCTGGATGTTAATGGACTGGATTGAGATCTCAGTCTTTCAGCAGATTCATAACTAACCAATCATCTGTCCAGGAAGCGTAGGCATTAAACAACCCTGCTTTTTAAAAAAAAAGTATCCGGAAATTACCTGGGAAGCAAATGCGTCAGGCAGGATGCTGACTATATCAAGCACTGAGTATCAGTTGGTTGCAATAACTATGAGTCTAGCATCATATGACTGATAAACCAAAGTCATAAAAAGAAAACGCCCTTTACTTTTCTTTACAACGGTTAACAGAGTTGGGAGTTGTGATAACACAATGGTTAGACAGTAGCTTTACTTACCAGAGTCCATAACTTTGGTCAGTTGTTCAGCACATGCAATATCAACGGACACACCATCTAACAGGTGTTTCTCTTTAAGAGATTCAAACACTTTCTTTCTAGCTTGCAGAGCTACCTTTGCTTGCGTCTGTTGCTTCTCACGTTCTTCTGGATGATATTTGGACTTAAACCTAATGTTGAACATTTGAGGAGCAGAAAGAAAAAAAATTAAAGATTATGTTATGACATAAAAAATGTTTGCCATCTCCACAAACGAGATTGGCTGTACTGTTTATGTTCAATCACTGCTGTCTTAAGGAAATTCTACACGGTGAGGTCTCAAATCTCCTCCGATGTGTGACTCTAGTACCACTGTCTCACAGCCATAAGAGGTCTTTTTCTTAATTGCCCAGCATGGAATTTGAACCAAACTAAATTAAGGATTGTCAAATGCACTAACTAACCACAAAGCCACAGAATACAACAGACTGAGAGAAAATCAAATGAATCAGTCCTCCAAGAGACATAAATCATAAACTGATTAGAGAAATCGGGTGCAGACACTCAAGATTTCTTGGATATGGTATGTGAAGGAATACATTAAAAAACTTAGCAAAAAACGGTTAAACTTATGGAAAAGAGCAAGAGGAAGACAAAGCAATCCTATCCCCATGAATCCATTTTAATACCTGAAACATTCGTGTAAAGTTGAATGTAAAATGGGATAATTCAAGAGTGGTGAAGAAAGAAGAAATGCCTGGGCACCACTAAGAACCACAGTTATAAGACTAAAAGCTGGCGTTACAATGGAGACAGACTGAAAAGAAACCAGCAGAGAATCACGAAACAGGCATTAAATGGGAAATAAAGAAACTGAGGAAATGAGGACGCTCAAAAGAAACCCTAAAATGAGCATGGATGAGAAAGGCCAAAGGTGCTGGATGGGATTCCACCCATGAAATTGAAGGGACTGCACAGGATATAATAGAATGGATGAACAGACTGCTAGCCTTACGTGACATATAAGGCACAACAGGACAATGAAGTTGATGAACCATCAATGTCCAACTTGCACAAATCTGTAAACTGCAGTAGTGGTTGACCCTGACAACACTTATCCATCTGTAACTCAGCATACTTTAAAGGATGCCTTTTCACACCTTTTGCCTATCAGCATTTGATCCAAGATCCAAATTTTTTGTTTACAGATCAATCAGTACTTGAGAGGTTATGTGGTCAACATCACGCTGGCCACCTTAAACTCCCAGGACATTACCTGGTAATCATTTCAGTCTGAGCTGATTTGGAAGCCAGGTCAATACTGAATTAGTAAACTCTGCCCCAATACAGATTTGAGCCCTAGACCTTCAGGTCGGCATTTACTTACTTACTTATCAAATGCTATAAATAAAACAATATATTAATATGAATTCATGATAGGATAGTAGCTGGAACAATAGTTATAAATAAGTTACAGCTAGAACAATAACTGTAAAACTGGCACCACCTGGGTATAATGGGCACACCCCTTACTTGAACGGCAAATGACTCAACATAATCTCAAAATAGCTGCTGAATGATAGATGTGGCTGAGTGAACAGGATAAAATCAGTTTCAATGAAGTAGTGAGGATTTCTTCTTCAGCACTCACCCTTAAAAGGGTGGTTGGCATGTTGTGGTATACAGCTAGGCTGCAGTATCTACCTTTTATTCCAACACATCTAATTTCAGCAAAACCTATATCACCTATTATGACATGCTTGTTATGGCATGGGGTGGGGGTCTATTATTTTTGTCATCCCAAAAATTGGGTCTTGAATTCAAAAAAGAAAATCAGCAATGACAATATAAAGTAGACAACTATAAATAAAAACAAAGAAAGCTTAACGGCAACATCACATACACACAACAAACCACTTAAGCTGATACCTCAAAATACGCCGAGAAATCCTTTTTGTTGTGTCGTGCGAAAACGTTCATATTTTTTAAAACAATAACCAACTCGAATTTGTCCACTTGCCGAAAAAAATCCATGGTCAATTCCACATAATTTACAACCGTTTCCTAAACACTATCTATAACTTGTATGAGACTAACATTGCATTGTGCGCAATGTGCCCTATTGCTAGAGTAGGAGCGGATTTCTAGAACACGAGGTGCGAACCAATCCTCTTTTCTGCTGTTGAGCAAAAGATATAGATTATAACGAGCTAGTGAACATTCACACATGTTACTACTAGCATGATAAACAAAGTAAAAGCTATTTACTGGCACTCACAGATGTAGAAGAAAGAAGGAGAGATAGGAAGACAACATAAAAACTGAAAACAACATGTACCACTCTGGGAATCCATCACTTACAGATAATGACAGCACGTGTACCTTGACTATTATTAGCATGGTCTGTCATACACTTGAACCAACATATATGGTTTCAGACTCGCTAAGTAGTAACTATAGCTTTCCCTTTTTATGTTGTTTGGAGTTCTCGTTTCTTTGCTTCCTGCTTCTGCCTACACGAATGCCAATCAGTATTTTCATCATCATGTGCCCTGCCAAGCAGCAAAGGCACTCATGTGTCTCCACAGATCTCAGTATTTTGAACCAGTTCAACTGATGATATTCCTCCATGCCATCAAGTGTGATTTATCTCTCTTGGTCTGCTTCATCTCCCATTGATATTTCCAGTCATCACAATGTTCACCAATGCCTCTCTTGTCATCACATGACCAAATAAGACTGAATCCCTCTTTCTTATAATTTTCTAATTTCAGTAGCCATTTCCAAGCAGTTGTTGTACCGACTGTCCACAGTACCTGCAGCACATATCTCAGAAACCACATCTCCATGTCCTCCAAGCTTCTCTTCCTTTGTTTATTAATGAGAGAGACTTGTTACACAAAATATTTTTCACCTTTTGAAATGCATTGGAAATTAGCAACTATTTTGTAATTTTAGTCGGTTGTAATGCAGGCAGTTTTTTTAATGTAGTCAGGCCAGCCCAGTCTAAAATGGGAACCAGAAACATTTTCTTAGAAATAATATTCTACTTCTGCGTTTGCTCTTACAAGGGCAGTTGGCGCAATGTGTTATGGTTTACAGCTGAGGCCCAGCACATCAGATTTGAGCACAGCCTTAATTAGTAGCCTTTGATGGCATGCTTGTTAGGGAGGCAGTGGGTCTATTTCTTTCCCTTTCCTGACTGGTGCCCAGAACCAACACAGGGGGAGAAATACTAATATCTTATTACAATCTATATCACTGCACACTGGGCATTCCCATGTATGCTCAGTCTTCTGATACAGCAGCCATCCCCAGATACTTGTACTGAGCGTTCCCAGTGTAGTTATTATGTCTTCTACATTTACTTTAAAGACTATATAAATTTATTAACATTTTCAAAATACTCTTAGGGTGTATTACATGAGCACTGGATTTTGTTGTTACTGTTCATCACTCTTCTTTGAGAATGGGAGGTGAGGAAGTGCACTGGCTGGCACTTTTGTCTACAGGCGAGGTGCTTATGCTTACTAATCCTCATTAAAGTAGGGATTTTTAAAATCTGATCTAAACTCCCAGGCTAAAATAGGTACCACGAAATGTAGCATTTTGTTGTTGTTGTTAAGCGAGCTATTCTTCTTCTTCACCTTCAGGGTCTGTAAACTCTGGCAGAAAGTCCTGGTCATCTGTCCAAGTCAGAACTTTGGTCTTGTTTCAGGAGTTATGGTCATTCTCATTCTCATCATTCGTTCCATACTGTGTGATGATTTGTTTATTTTTTAACATTTTTAGTAATTCTGAAGTATGTTTCAACAATACAAAATTACACCATGCTTACAAAATAGACTATCTTCAGGAAATATGATTGCAGGCACTGAGTTGCACTCATAGCTCACACACAACCCTCACCATTCTTCTTCCTTATGAGCCAGGAAAAACTCATTGATTTGCTGTCTTGTAAACTGCAGCTTGTAGTCGGCATACAGCTTGATGGCATCTTCCTGGGTGATCGTATCATCCTGTTTGTTCAGAAACTGTTTGAATGTCATCATGGCAGGCTGGGTTGGGTATCCAGGATCACTGAAGACAGTCAAAGAACAGTTGCAGGTGTGGTCTTAATGAATAGCTTCTTAAACTATATAAATACTCAACAGCCATCTAAGTGAAGGAATGATTAACACTAGAAAGTAACTAGCAGAAAAATACATAGACAACAGGCTAATCTTTTAACTAAATTGCTTTTATCAATTAAGAAAACAGCAGCAAAGAGAAACTAAACTTCTTCACTTTACCAACTGTAAACTCCGGCAGAAAGTCCTGGTTGTTTGTGCACTTCAGGACTTTTTTGTCTTGTTCCAGGAGTTGAGTGTTGTGTGCACATCAGTTTCACAGATCTGGCTTAATTATGAGCAAACTGTTGGTTCCTTGCCTCTCAGGCAGATGCACTCTGACTGTGAAGGAAACGATCCTATCTATGTTGGCCCTGCTCCACGGTGGGAGCCTGTTCCTGGAATGACCGCAGAGAGATATAAAGAGGTCTCAGCCTATTGGAGCCCTAGTCCTGCTGCAATGCCACATGGTGAAACAAAATGTATCTACAAGTCTAGATTGCATTAAAGAATACTGACTGCATCTCAATTGCTGTCTTTTTTTTAAATGTCACTATAAGCTTTCAAACTATTTCTTTGTTTCAGTCTTCGGTAATTCTTACCATACACATAGAGACACATTTTGAAATTTTTTAAAAATCAATCTGGGGCTTCTACCTTGACTCTGCCTAAAATAGGTACCACAACCGGTCTTGGAAGTAAAGGTAGCCGGTGTGAAAATGCCCTTCCCTCTCCTCAACCATCTGGCAATTAGTCTGTACTCTGTACAAATACTGGTCCAGCACCATATGCTTCAGGCACCAATAGTGTGACAAAGCTCCTTTTTTTTTTTTTAAACATTCTTAATATCAGCTTGACAGCAGCCACTTCCTATTTAAAGTTACTGTGCACACACTGTACATTTTGAAACAACAATAACCTTCTCTATAATTACACTCTACTTTCAAACAGCCATTCCAAAGTAACCACAGAACATCACTAAGGTACTTTTTTTTTATAGACCATACCATGTGGTGTCAGTAACCAGGGCTCTCACAGCTTTCTGTTCAACTTCCTCTCTTCTCTCGATCACTTCTACCTCTCCTCTAACCATATTTTTCTGTTCTTACAATGTACCAGAGCTTTCCCTTTCTCATGATGTGCCCAAAGAATGAGGAGTTTTCTCCTAAATCAGGCCTTCAGTGCTCTCTATGAATGAATTTCTCTTCATTATGTTTACCTGACATGGTGTTTTCATCATCTTCTATAAAACCACACTTTTGTAGTTTTCAAGTGATTTTTCACCAACTGGTGACTATTTATTATCCACTTCCACACAAAAGAACTAGCTCAATATTGCTCTTATGAACTCTCATTCTTACATCAGTTGACCACGATATGTTACAAAGAGCAGTTCTTCCCATTTGGTAGTCAGCAACCCAAATCTAAGTAGTCTGGGGTATCATTTACAAAAAACCTCAACCTTCGAATGCAACCTTTTGTGTGGTTCTAGCATTTATAAATTACCACACACACACAAAAAAAAAAACGTTTATGGCAAATAAGAGGATCTACTGGTTTTAGTAATTCCTGGTTGCACCATCAACCTGGAAAAGGACGTTAACACTTACTGCTGCGATTGTCATGGTGAGATGAAACTAAAAAAATGAATCAAACATACTCTTGCTGTAACAAACCTATTGTTGCTTCGTTCTGGATATCCGAAACCATCAGATGATGCACCACCTGCTTCCAGGGCTCGATGGCTCCAGTCGGGCCTGTCTGCCCCAGGAGGTCCATTGCTAACCTGAAAGGGATTCTCATACATGCCTGGAAAGCCTGTATCATCCCTGTAACACAATCGAGATAATGTTTATTAAAATACTTCCAAAGCTTGCATCATTCATGTAATACTTGTTACTTGTGTTTGTATTGACATCCTAGCCCATCTGTCCAACCTATTCGTGCTGCGATGCAGCAGCCATCTCAGTGTCTCCATGCTCACTGTACCCAGTAGCAGTTGACTGGCATATCTTCTTTCTTTGCCCTGCAACTGGTTTCTAAATGCCTGTCTTCACTTAATCCAATGTAATAACTTAGAGATAATTTAAATTAATAACAAGGAAAGCCTGCAATATCAATCTAATAATCCTTTAAAAAATGTCTGTATCACCCCTATAATAACACAAAATAATGTTAACTAAAGACACAGAAAGACTGCATCATCTATGTAATTAAACAGAGATAATGTTAATTAAACAAAATTAAAAACCTGTATTATCCATATAATAACAAGAAAATGTTGGGCCTGAGTTGGAAGGCAAGGTCAATTTTGAAAATCTGACCTGGTGGGAATTACAACCCAACACCGTCAGGCCGACAGATAAGTGTTGAGCCGTTACACCATTGCAGCTCCAAAAATAGCAAAAAGAAGGTAACAAGATCGTACTAAGAAGCTCTTTTTTAAATACCTACAATTACGTTTGTTGCACAGTACTGGTGCCATAAGTTTAAAAATTGATCTGGTGTGCTTTACTGCATCCATTATTTCACAAATATAATCCTTAAAAATAATTGTAAATAGTCTTACCAATCTCGTCTCATGCGCTTGGCTGGATAAGAATCATAACTTCCTGGGCTGAAATTATGCTCCCGCCGTCGATCATCATACCGCCGTCTATCGTCATAGCCCCGAGAGTAAGTGTCCCGGCGGTCTCTCATATTATTACCCCTGCCAGTATTACCCCAGGCATCTCGTCTCACTCCACCGCTGGAACATTAAATATTGAAACATTCAAACACAACTTTTGCTAAGTCCTGGAACAAAGCAAAAGTCCAGAAACACGTACAGCCAGGACTTACTGCCTTAGTTTACAGAAGGTGAACATGCAGACAAAGATCTTATGAAGTGAATTTGTTCTATGTAATGTCTTACATATACAAGCTTAGGAAATGAGATATTTTTAAAAAGATTCTTAGTATAACATACAGAAACAACATCCCAAATTACAAAATTTGCTGTATCATCACTCAGCATACTGGCAACAATTAACCTGTTCTGAAAAAGGTCAAGGGAAGGAAATGCAAATGGTATGGACACGTAATAAGATCTACTGGCTTCTCCAAAATCATACGTCAGGGTTCGGTAGAGGGGAAGAGAAGATGAAGACCAAGAAAGACCTGGATACAGAACTTGACTAAATGGACAGGCCTCAAACATGAACCCATTGACTACTACGATCGCATTGTATGAGATCTGCAGACATTTATGCCTGGCTACCATAAACGCACTCTATGCGATGTGTGGACGCTTATGCCGCCATGTTAAAATTGCAACTTTTGCAATAAATGTAGTTCAAGCCGTTAGTCCATTATTTCTTTATGTTCATTTAAGGGGGCACAGTTAGGTAGCACTTAAAGAAAATTTTCCACACATTTTTTTTAAGTTGAGCTTTCCATGTCGAATATGCATCAGGCGCATGTTTTCATAATGGATTGTTGATCATTAGGGTCGGATGGTGAAACAGTTTGAGAATATTTATGATGCAGTGGAATATTGTCTTGATTGTTTTAAATTGGAAAGTGAAGGTGAAGATATTTCTGAAGTTTGATGACTGTGACTTTGATAATTCTTACGAAGTGCTATCAAAAACATGGTTGAAACTGGGAGAAAACATAAGCTCACATCAGTGGTGTAGCTGCTAGAGGTAGGTGTGTTAGGTCACTTTAATTTGTGTAAACTGTTTCAGCTATGTGTTTCAGGTATGTGCTTTGTTAGATGCCTCTGTTAGTGTAGACTGTGTATATTACGGCTCTGTGGCTTACAGTTTAGTGAAAACGTTTCACAGTGCAACCCCTGATATGTACCAAGGTGCCATTCACATGATGCAAGTTTTTGGGAAAGAACATTTCTGTGGCTTTCTTAGTTTGATAATTCAGTCATATTTTAAAGAAGTTCTTGGTGCAAAATGGCAAACTGTCACAGAATTTGCAGAATTTTATTTAACACTTAGGTAGAGCTCACATCTAGGATCACTTCAGCAAAACAAAACTAAACAAATTACTTATTTGGTTTCAGAAGATTTTTCAGTTGCCCTTTTTGCACCAATCTACAGCCACATGATGATGATGTAAAACAAGATTATGCAGTTTTTATTCCTGAAGTGTGTTATCCATTCAATTTGATGCAAAAATACAAAATATTATGAGTTTGTGTTAAATAGTTGTGAAGCCATGACATTTTTAGTAGACATTGAAATATGTGGTATCTGGAAAGTGCAAGGGTAAATGGGTGTGGTACTCAGTGGGTTAAGTCAACTGCATTTGACTGACAAAGGTGGAGGAAAGTGATCAGTCAACAGCAACCGACAGCCTATTGACACACGATGTAAAGGACTATGATGAGAAGTGTGCTTACAAATAAAAATGCATTCTTCTCAAAGTCCATGTCATTTGACAATGAACATGATGTCTGTCTAAAGCTCTCTGTTACAGGTACGCCAATATAACTTTGGATACAGCTGTCCTTCCATACCAAGAGGCCAGATAGAAACATTTTCTCTTGTGACGTTACCCTCCCTCTTTTCTTTCTGAACCTCTGTGATATCACAATGTATTCCAGTTTTGATTATAACAACTGAACAGATTTTTCTATTAGCACACAATATTATCTAATATATTTTTTAAATTTATTAACAATTCCCATTTGGCTGTCAATTCTAAAAGCGGCTATTTTTGTCAAAATATTTTTCAAACAATATCCAAGATCTTTGGAAATACTGATGTTTCTAATATTCTAATTTTTCATATTTTTATGCATTAAAGGGTGGTTTTCCTGCACTTGGACTATCACGCATCTGGTGAGTAAAAAGTTAAGAACCCTTTTTATGCTAGTGGTGACTGGGGTGCATGATGCTAGCCTCATATTTCCATAAACCAGCTGGCCCTCTGTGGTAATGCGGTCGATATCACATGGCTGCCTTTACTTTCCAGGACATTACATGGTACCCATTTGAGGCTGGTCAACCCGACAGCCAATGTCAAATCCAGCTGGATGATGATGCGAACCCAAAACCTTCAAGGTGGCAGGTAGGCATCCAACCTATATATGCCCTGCAGTCACATACATATTCCTGAGTCCATGACACTAACATAATTGAATCAATAATAAAGCCAGAACACAGAATTTGTAAGTGGTTATACTCACGTGTTACCACGCCACCCGCGTCTGAAACACAACACATTATATAGCACAGCTCGTTAGAATCTAGCCAAAACTACTACCATCATAAGCACGATACTTAAATATACTGTATGTTAATTAAAGTAAAAGGTCGCACAGGGAGAAGAAGCTGGACTGATGACATTAAAGACATTCTCACCTGAATAAAACTTCTATAGCCAATTTAGGTCAAAAAGATTATTTCACATTGGGTGTTAGCCTATATGGCTCAACCTCTCCCCTCAGAACGGACAGCCACCTGCTGAAGTGTTACATCAAGCAAGAACTATGATGCTTTATCAACCATCCGAAATCTCTGTAAAAACTGCACTCGCAAACTGAATGTGTCCTCAAAATAAACTCATAACTTTTACAGCGTGAGGCAAATGGCTTGACCACTTTGTAGTAACCGCCTATCCCCTCCCCCCCCCCCCCCCAGTGGAATCTGATGTATAAGCAGTTGTGTGTGATGTAAAAGAAATGTCAGAAGAAAGTGAGGACAGTATTATTCTGCAAAACCTGCCAGGAAGTATTAACCGCACCGGACACTTAAGAAAATTATGATTTGAATTTCCCAAATTCCACCTTCCACATACGTGAAGCTTCTATTGCACGAGCCGTAACGTCACTTACGCCATCAGCTGCAAGAGATGTGGCGTCAAATACATGGGTGAAACCGGTTTACGACTGGCTGACAGGTTCAGACAGCATCTTTTGGATGTGCAGAATGGTGCCCTAAAACCAGTACCGTTGCACTTCAATTTCCAGGACCACCAAGGTGTCCATGACATGGAGGTGACAGCCACTCCAGCGACAGACTTCGCAAGTCTCTGGAAAAATCGCTTTATATACAACTGCCTACACAGTTTCATCTAATTCTCGAGTTCCAACCCCTGGCCTTCCCCGGGATATTTATTTTTCCCTTCCCACATGTCCCTGAGTCTGTTCGCCAGACACCGACCTGGCTGCTTCGAGAAACGAAGATAAGTGATAATGTGCATTTGTGTAGTATTATCTAATTTGTGTATGTGCTGATAAAGGCTCCATAGCCACAACACTTACATTTTGTTCATGTTATATTGTGAAGCTTGCTGATATAATTTTTTGTTCAGGTTTAGATCTTTCCTAGAACATTTTGATGCAACATCCAAACTGACTGCTAGGTTTAATGGAAGAGAGCCGGCTGTGAAATTACTTTGCACTTTCATTCACGTCCAAGAAAATTATTCCTGAGTACTTTTTAAAGTTATTTAGAAGTAGTGTTTTCTAAGATGGCATAATACATGTACTGTAAATGGTTAATACTATATTGCTACACTAAAATTTCAGTGCCCTGTTAAGCATAAATATTTTTTTAACGAGCTCTTAATTAATGGGTTTTTTTTTTGTCCCTAGGAATTTGTGCCAATGAGGTTAAACATTCTATTAAGCACAACAACAAAAATATTTGAATAATGAACTTAGTATCTTCTTCCACTCCCGTTTCATCTCCAAATGGAGCATAGGCCCTCAACCAATTCACACCAAAACCACTGTAGACTTGTTCATGATTGATTGGATCTTGGATCTTGTAGCTCATCAGTTAGGGGAGATCAGGCTGTTTGTCTCATATCAACCCTCACTGGTTAAGCTAAGTTAGAGACATAGCACTCAGAACATTCCGATATCCACTTCATCCTTATCTTCAGCAACCAGTGAATAATTCTAATTCCGATGGTACCAGTAGCAGTATGATTATATATCCATCTTCTCTTTCCTCTGAGTGTAGAATTTCTCAAGATCCCCTGGTCACTCCCTGCCACACCCTTCTCTCCACACTGTAATGATCTATTTGCACTTTTGTATTGTTCACTTGTTCCCAAGGGCTTTGACTACATCTAGCTTGTCATGCACCCATCACTACCCCATGGTGCAGCACCAGCTAATCTGTATGCTTGTTCCTTTTCCAACACACCTCTAGACAGTGGGAAAAAAATCCAAAGGAATGCTAACTACCCTCATTAGACATTGTCATGCAACATAAGTTACCATGCTACTACCACATGCTTTCCTTGATGGTCCTGATGTCATCTGATTTCCATATTTAATGAGGCTGGGTTGGTCCAATAGCCATATTGGTTGGAAAAATAGTCTTGAATTAGCTGGAGATTGAACTGGCACCAGTGCCTTGTAAGAACACATCTGAATGCTTTAACAGTATGTTACAGTTGTAAGCAAACTAGAGATGGACAACAGTATGTTACAGCTGTAAGCAAACTGAAGATGGACAACAGTATGTTACAGCTGTAAGCAAACTGAAGATGGACAACAGTATGTTACAGTTGTAATCAAACTGAAGACGGACAACAGTATGTTACAGCTGTAAGCAAACTGAAGACGGACAACAGTATGTTACATTTGTAAGCAAACTGAAGATGGACAACAGTATGTTACAGCTGAAAGCAAACTGAAGAAGGACAACAGTATGTTACAATTGTAAGCAAACTGAAGATGGACAACAACAAATGCTTACTGTCCTCCTCTTGCGGATGGCCTCCTGAAATTGACAAAATAATAAATCTATTAAAATTATTCAAGTAATATCTAAAACGGGTGTCCATGGCAATTTGTATTCAGGCTACATATGTGCCAGGAATTATTCACTTCACAAATTCTTTGATATTCTTCTTCGATTCATGCTAGTTTATATTGTGTCAACTTTCCATAGCCTATGTATTTAGATACCTTATTTAGCAAATCATATATTCTTCTTCTAGTCATGCCAGTTGATTTCTTCAGGAACATCCTGAAAAGTGCAGTTAACATGCTGTGTTGTGGTTGATAGCTAGGCTGTGATATGTGGGTCAAACACATCTGATTTCAGCAAACTCTCAATTATTAAACTTTCATGATATTCTTGTTATCCGACAGTAAAGTTCCTCCCCTCCCCCCCCCCCCCCACCATCCAATCAAAATAAAGTGTTTAAACCCATTACCATCATCGCCCCATAAGACAAACTCTCTGATATGGTCAGCTGCAATTGACTTCACGGTTACATGCCTTTCCAGTCAGTCAAGTTCTGTATCCAGGTCTTCCTTGGTCTGCCTCTTCTCCTCTTTCCCTCTAATGAGACCTGCAGTATTGTTTCTGAGAGGCCGTTAGATCTTATTACATGTCCGTACCATTGCATATTACATTTTTTCACTATAGTTTAAAAGAGGTTTATAGCTGCCAGCAGCAAAGAGTTTTTTTTTAATTTTATTTTGTGTGTGTGAGTGGGGGGGGGGGGGGGGGGGGGGGGGGGGGGGGGGTGTAATTCTAGTTTTTATTTTAATTATATCAACTTAAAAAGGACATTTCTTCTGTATATAAGTGATCTGTTGCGAGCATCATGAAATGACTATGCACACAGTAGGCTTGATGAGCACTTGCAGGCCTGACAACTATAGACACAACAATTTTGTCCTGAAACTAGAGAAGTAGGTGCAGAAAGAAGAAGCAGAAAAATAAAACACAGATATAGGCGATAAATACAATGCAGAAGAGAAGATGAAGTAGCAGTTGAAGAAGATGAAGAAGTAAAATAAGAAATATGGGGGAAATGAGGTAGAGGCGGCAGAAATGAAAATGTTGCATGAAAAGAAGTAAAGGTAGCAGAAGAAAGACAAGGACGAGGATGGGAATGAGGAGATGCAGATGATACATGCAGAGAAGTGTAAGAAGAGAAGGAAGAGGAGAAGGAAGAAAGAATGAAGATGACACGAAAAGCAGCAGTAGAAACTACAGCAGGATGGGTAGTAAGACAGAGAAAGATGACATAAAAAGAGAATAGATAAAGGAGGAGCAGCAGGGAAAAAAAGAAGAAGCTGAAGGGGAAGAACTGATGTTCATTTGTGCATCCACTTACCTGTCCTCCCAAGTGTCTCTGCGCCTGTCATCCGTACGACGATCATAATCATTTCTCTCTCTCCTAAACTTGTCTCGCCCTTTCTTTTGTTCAAACTCATCATCGCTGTCTGCCATACTTTACAAGAGTGACTTTACAATGTTTCAGAATTTACCTGTGAAAACAAGAAAATGAATGTGCTCAACGCTAAGTACAAGAAAGCTCACATGTTTCTTGATTACTCTAAATAGTATATGCATCCTTAATTTTTGTTATCGGAGGTGATAGAGGTGGGGTGCGGGGGTCATTATTCTCTTGCATTCAGTATACAGAAGCTAATCAGGTTCTGAGACAATTTACACACGTTTAAAAAAAAGTAAAGATCCCTTTTCACGCCTATAGGAGCATCGGGCATACTGGAAGAGCACCCATATTTTTACAGACCATCTGCACTAGGTGGGTAATGTGGTCAGCAATACGCCGGCCATCTTTACTTCCGCAGGACAGCCATCCTGGTACCAATTTTAGGCTCGGTCGACCTGCGACGCCCCATACCATGATGAAAATCCATGCAGCCAGAAGTGGGTTTTGATCGTGATGTGCTGGAATTACGAGTCGGACATGCAATGCCTAAGCTACGGTCGCCACTTTACACACTTGTGCTTAACGCTAAGTACAAGGAGGCCATGTTTCTTGATTATTTTCTCTCAATGACATATACATCTTTAATTTTGTTTATGGGAGAGGATGGGGGTTGCTACTTGATAACTTCAGTGAATGTGTGTTTTCCAAAGGTCATTGGCAACCTACAAAAAGGTCGTGACCCGCGGGTTGAGAACCGCTGATTTAGATCTTTGATGCCCCTAACCATTTCATATGATTTTCAATAGATGTTAGAAAATTATATAGTTTTTTTGTGTGTTGTTTCTTCTGTATTACTTTCAGCAGCATCCTTTAAATAAGGTTTATCACATAACTTTCTTGTCAACCTTTGAACAAAGAAAGGCCAGTCTTTTAAAAATTGAAATTTTAATTTGCCTTATGTTTACTTTCATCTTGTCATAATTGTTACCCTCTTATTCAGTACCAGCAGTATTATTTGGAGCTAAAAATCTACTGAAAGTATTTCAGGCTCCCCACTAGTGCTACGGAGTTCATGCACTGAGATTCTTCAGACTCAGACTTGACTTAGAAGTAAAACGGAGCACTTATGGATTACTACCCATGTGCCATGATGTTGATCCGTTGTTTAAACCTCAAACCTAAACCAACAGCAACACACCCTACATTTGCTAGGTTTTGCTGATGTATTTTGAGCCCTTTGTTGTCCAGCACTGTACTAATATTTTAAAACCACTTTGTCCCAGCTGCTGCTTTAAGTCATTCTAAAAAAGAAAGCCCAGTGAACCAGCATCATTGCACACGGTTATAAACCATAAGTGCTCTGCCACCAGTACAGACAGTTGATAAAACACTCTGTAGCTACAGTGACTTTCCTCCATTTTCCCCAGAGTGTTAACTCTGGTACCCATTACCTAGAGGCTAGGTGAACTCCGGGAACCGCCCGGTTTTCAACACCGGCCGTGGGCTGCAGCGAGTCGCTGCTAGATTTGAAAGCGAGTCTCCTATCGACTGCACTAACGCGGCTCCTAAGTCATTCTGTATCATGCTGGTATTACATCTCTTTTAGTTAAGTCATTAATTAAAGCAATACATCTTAGAATATCTTCTTCTTCTATGTTCTCTGGACATTCATTTAAACCAATGTGGACCATAAACTGTGATGTCATTCTCAAGATGTTGAGGTCTCTTGGGTTTCACAGTCAAAGCTTAGTTCTCAGGTCCACTGGCTGTTGCCACATGTTGATTTGCAACTCCTCATGAAAGAACAGTCTAGCAAGACATGAACTGAAGCTTCTTCAGCATGAAGACATTGGCATAGAGCTGTTTAGCTCATAAGTGATATTTAATTCACATTATCATTATATGTGAGTTTATGTAGTCTGAAACAGCAATGTAAATGCCCAGTGGGAAAACAAAGACTAGTTTAGAATTACATGTTCAAGTCTTATGTTGGTTGGTTGGTAGTTGTACCCAACTAGGATATCACACAAGCGATAAACTCCTGGTGACACAAACTGCCACCATGCGAATGAGGATCACCCGTGGTATGGTTCCAGAAACCCCTTTCAGACGTTAGGCCATATTTATGCCCCGGCTATATTCAGGGCCTCCGGCAAAAGCCGGAAGGGGGCTCAAAATTAAAAAAAAAAATTGCATCTGACCAGGGGATGACTTATATTAAGTCTTTTGTTCAATGAGATTAGTTGGCTCTACTTCGAACGGCACCATAAAATGGCGGCCAAAATATGATGTTGTTCTAAAGAGAGCTAAATTGGCCACATTCTGGCCATAAAATATCCAAAAATATCCCAATGGGGCTCAGTTCTATTAAAAATATGCTGGCCCCATATAACGAAACAAATGCTCTAACAGGGTCTCAGCGATATGTTACTTGTGGACCTGCTTCTGCGAGTGTGCCTCACCGCTGACTGTATCCCCCGCGCCGCTACGCGCGGCACAGATGGGGACTAAACTAGATGGCTGGGACTCACGAGCAGCAGCTACCGCATCTCCTGCAACTTCCTCCAATTACTTTACTCGTGAGTCCCAGGCACCTAGTTTAGCTCCCCATCCGCGCTGCACGTAGCGGCACGGGGATACGCTGGCAGAAAGTCCATATTTTAGATATGCCTGAACACCGTTTGGATATTTTTGGATATTTTATGGCCAGAATGTGGCATCATATTATGGCCGCCATTTTATGGTGCCGTTCGAAGTAGAGCCGATTAGTTTATATCATCCACCAGGGACTGAATGAGTAACAGGGACTGAATGAGTAACAGAACAATGACCAACATGCAACTGTTTCCATGCACGCAAACTAACACACTCATCAGATATAACATATTTTTCCTTTTCTTTTTCTTCCTCTTTGCGTTTGGTTTCATATGCTCAGGTCAGACGGACACCCTCTCTCTATGAACTCGCATGTCAGCTGCAGATCCTTCATGGTTCCCCACCCCACTTTGCTTGAGGCCAGGTTTCTTTTCTAGTAGTAGGTAGAGTAGGCAGGCCTGTAAAAATGTGCTCATGTTTTGTGGTCCCGTCTGACAGGCACACTGAAGGTCTATATGTATACTGTAAATGTAATCGTAATCTTTATTTAAAATAATATTTTAAAATTGATTTTCATAATTTTTAACAAATTGTATTAGTGTTCATGAAAACTGGAAAAAAAAGGGGGGGGGGGGTACATATTTCACAGCAAGCCTAACTGACTGCTCGCTAATTTGGTGGTTGAATGGATAATTTAGTGTAATTCGGCTTGGCGAGAAGAGGCAGTGGAGACTGGGGCCAAGCGTCAGATGAGGGAATGGATGTCTTCTCTCTGTTGTCACAGAACCGAACGTTGCCTGCGTTGTTTGTTACAACAGTTTACTTCGTGCGCTGTGCCGTTCAAAAAGATGATTCCTGCTTTTCGCACTTAGGGGGAAAAGACCAGGTTCAAACTGCTGAATTATTCAATTAATCGTGAAATATGTACGTTATTTACCTTCGCTTGTCTTCAAGTTTGAGGCGACTGACATGCCGTAGAATTATCGACGCGATTACGATACTGCATGACACAGAATACGAGATTCGATCAATTCGAATTTTTACTAATTCATATTTCGAATAATTATGCAATGGAGAATCAGATCCACACACTGATTATGATGATGATACAAGCATGTGCGCTCCTGGATATATTATGACAGCTAATCAGAGTGTGTTCTTCCTGTCTGTATGAACAACCACCTTTTAGATGTATTTTATTCAGCACTACTGAAATAGACGCATTGTGATTAGTAGCGGCACCCTTTTACTAAAAGTTGTAGATACCTGACGTTGAGTTAATTGGGCATACCACAGGATTTTGCACAACCAACCCCAACATTTCTTCGCATTGGTTGTACTCATCATCATCAGGTGCCTTGCTGACTGGCGTGGGTGATCATGCCTCTCTACAATCTGCGATCTCCTGCAGCATCATATATCCGTTCGTGTGCAAAACACATCTCCATACCATGCCACAAGACTGCCAATAATCTTCTCTCGTTGTCTTCCTTTATCCCTCTTTCAACAGATTTTTTCAGTGGTCACATGTTCCATTTTCCCTCTCCTCATACCATGGTCGAAAAATGATGACTGTCTCCTTCTGATGTCTGTGATAAGTTGTCTTCGGGCTCCCGCCTCTATTAGAAAACCTCTTGGTTGCTCTTTTTGGCTGCCTAATGTATTTTAAGCATTCTTCTGTAAAACCACATCTCTGAAGCCTCAAGAAATTGTTTGGCCTGCCTACCGATTGTCCAGGACTCACAGCCATATGTTAAAAGTGGATGTATATAGCAAGCAATAAGTCTTTTTCTAACCCACAATAACAAAGATATATTGCATAAAATATTATTCATTTTATAAAATGCAGTCTTTGCCTGTCATATTCTGTTTCTTATCTCAGTAATGCATCTTCTATCTGATGTATCCATGTGCCCAGACACTTAAATTTCTGTACTTGTCCCAAAATAACACCATTGATTTTTATTACACATTTAGAATAATTCTTTTCTTTGATACCACCATTGCTTCTGTCTTCTCATAATTCAAACTGGGGCCCATTCTTCCACTTTCTACCACCACATTGTCTGTCATTTCCTTCAGTTCTTTCCGACTTGTTGCTATCAAAACTGTGTCATTAGCCTAACGTTAATTGTTTATTTGTACCCACCAACCACAATTCCGGGCATATCAATTAAAAATCTTATAATATATTCACTGTATAGTGAAAATAAATCAGGTGACAGTACACATCCTTGTCGTACGACCCTCTTTATGCTTTGAAATGTACCTAACCAGCTGTTTATTCTTATAGCTGCTGTTTGCTGCCAATATATCATCATCATCATCGTGTAGCAGGTTCTTTGCAGAACGTCGCTTAGCCTGTGTTGTTAAGCATGGATAGAGACTGTGACAGGCTTCATCAAAAAATTATTTTCTGTACTCTTTTATGTCATTGCATCATTGTCCGGTTGTGTTG